ACCGGGTACTGAAGGCCCGGGAGCATGCCGTACAGGATACCGATCGCAAAGTACTGCGAGAGGAGACCGAGTGCTTCACGCGAGGCGAGCGAGAGCGCACCGCCGGCGACGAGCGCGCCGTCCTCGAGCTCGTTGGGTGTCTTGGCATCGGCGTACTCGCCGTCCGCAGCGCGCTGCTTGTCGTTGGTCGCCGACTGCAGGTACGAGACACGCTCTTGGAGATCGCCGAGGTCCTTGGCGACAGTTGTCATCCTGTTGATGTCCAAGTGGCAAAAGCAAAAGTGAATACACGCCACCAAAGTTGGGAACCGCCAAAAGTGTATCGACTCGTTGTTGCCAGAGTACGCAAAGCTCGTTGATGGGAACTTGTTGAAGCAGCCACGCGGAGACCGAGTGATCCGGAGCGTTCAAGATCTAGACGTCATATCTCGAGAATGGATGTGGGTATCTGCAACAACCAACAAGCACCAGTTTTCACCTCACACCCCTACCCTCGATCGCCTGTCCGGTCATGCATAGTCGCTCGACAGCGTTTTGAAATTGTGGGTCCTAGAAGCATTCATCTTCTGTCAGAAGCGCGGGCCTCATCTTGGTGAAGCTCCCAGATACAGTTAGGCTCAGTACACTACACAGCTACGCCTAAATCCACACGCTCCCCTGCTTAGAACTCTCGTGCTGCCGTGATAACGCAGCCGTTGGACACTGCCCTTTCTATGGCTTGAATCAAGGGTATGGGTACCCATGATCGTGCCATGGGAGTTCCTGAGGCTAGATGTTGCGCAGTACTATGCGCGGTGGGCCCGACCCATTTGTCTTGTCCGAACACCAACTCGGGGCCCGGCGTGTAGGATACGCCTTGGTCGCTCTATGCCGGGTCCAGCCAAGTGCCTGTATGCTCGACGAGGCCTTAGAAGGGAAATCCACCTTGTGGCCTTGCACGAGTTGTGTTGTAACTGGTAGCCATAGTTCGACATGCCGACGATACCGATACCAGGTCGTGGTCACTGGCCCTAACCAATTAAAGACGTAGCATGCATCAACTTGGCCCTGTGTTGTGGTCGCTAGAGAATAAAAGGGTATTTACCCACACAGGCACAAGACTGGGTACAAGATACGAGTATATTCGAGTGATGCCGCCATAATCACCTCGACCCTTATTGGCATTGACGACGTTATCACTATGGGTTGATGATGCTTCGGTTATAACACGATTTGGTGTGTTTTTGCTTTTTCTAACACTTTGTGGCTCGGGCCTTCGGGCCAACCTCGGGCCCAACGACCAACCCAGATGCGATGCCATCTGCTTCGTCTTGTGCTTGCACTTGGTTCGACAGCTGGTGCGGCACCTGATTTGTGGTCGGGTCCTTTCTAAAACAGTGGGACGTACCCGGCCAGCTTCGCAATCGCAGTGGATCGTAACGGTGTGACGTGGACGCAAAGGTCAACTTCGCCTCAAGTTTTCACCAGATGCAACAGGTTTCTATGGAGCTTCGGAGCTTGCCGTAGCATCCACGATGTTGCGTGTGGTCGTAGCACTTGGTTTTTGTATCGGGCGCACAGAAGGCGAACAACATGCAGCGCGATCAACCACCGTCCAACTCAGATAGTTCGTTCAACTTTTTCCCTTGCGCTCAATGGGTGGCTGGCTGCACAAGCACCCGCGTTTCCGTCACAAGGTGATCGATACCAAGCGCTCTGGGCCTTGAAAATACTTTAAAGGCAGCGGCGGGATTGGTCATGAGGCTTGCCAAGTACTCGTTCTCGTCGAGCTCGCCAAGTCCTTCTAACGTGTCCCCTTGCAGGTCGTGGGTTGCGCGTGCTCAGATCTACTTCTGTTGTCTTCAATGTTCTTTTACGCCGCCGTGCAATGAAAAATCACTGCTGACGCCGTCTCTTCCCGCTGAGCTGGGTGGTGCTACGTTTATTGCGATCTGAGTTGCGAGTGATTTTGGCACCAGCGCAAATACCGTCATAGACCTACTGCGACCAATGGTACCAATGAAATAACACATTCGTTGGACTCAGTATAATCGTACTTGATACTCCGCGTTCTATTATCGTGTGTGAGCCCACTAAGAATTTATTCGCGTGGTCTCTTGGCAAAGGTCTTTGACAAAGGCATGCGATGCTGCGGACCCGTCGGCCTATCACCACACCAAAACCCACATTTTTCACCGGCGTCGTAAGGTGAAAATGTCGTAA